GGTGATTGTAGGGAACTATCAATTTGGTTTGGTGAATCCTGGAGGGAGGCGGTTAAAAGACCATAAGAAAACACCCTGTAAGAAGGCGCGCGCTAAAAGCCTTTCTACACTACAAGCCGTACTAAACATATTTCGAGATAATTTACGAATTTCCACATTTCAGTGGTTTGGGATTTGATTATATTTTTAGATTCTTTATTGATCGAAGTATCGTTATGTGAAAAACAAGGGGAAAAGGCAAATATGGCAATTAACGGTCAAATGCATCAACGGAACAATGTTTGAACTTGATAAAAACAATAAAACAATAAACGTTGCACAGTGTTAGGTAAGAGTAAATGAAATTTCTATCTCAAGAGAAGATTAATTATGATGCCAAGAAAGATGGGTATCTATACTAATAAATACAGTCTATTGTTAGGAAACAATCCCTAATAGGAAATTAATTGCAGCCTCAGTAAAGTTGTCAGCTCAGCTGTTGAGTCGGAAAGGCGGAAAGTTGTATGGATTTCGTTCTTTATTAAAAGTTCGATTGATAAAAAAAGCATGTATGCCCACAATTTTAACCCAAACCTGAATAATAAACAGTTTCGATCCAGATCTTCATTAAACATTGGCTTCATTGGCTAGTCCTAATATTTTCAGCTCTTAACGCGACTGTTTCGAGAGAAACTGGAGTTATTTATTTCCGTTGCACTTTCAACTAATGAATGATACTGGTTTTTCATCGGAATACATATCGCTCTTGAATTATTTCCAATTCTTGCTAAATTTCTTATAATTTTAGTTTTCCATCATGTGGGCAAAATGAATGTACTTTAGTCAATTTCCCTGTGTAGATATGTTCCTGTAGTGCACCAAATTTCTGACAGCTAATGTAAGAGGCCAGGTTTCAAGCCTTCTTCACCAAGGTTTCGGTCACAATAAGGCATTGAACATCACACTGCATTCGTGAACGGAAGTCGTGGAACAAATTTGCACGTTTGGGGCTTTTGCACACATACCAGACGCGACTTCACCTGCCTAGCCTCTCCCCTCTCCGATTCGTCCATATGAGTCATTGAGTCCAGCTGCAGCTACATAAGTCCGCTTTAAATCCTCTCTTTTGGTAATAACGATAACGATGACGATAACGATAATACTAGTAATAATAATAATAATGATGATAATAATAATAATAATGATATAAATAAAAATAATATTTATAATAAGAAGAATATAATAATAGTAATAATGATGATGATAATAATAATAATAATAATAATAATAATAATAATAAAATCTTTATTTATCATGATTAAAACCAATCAGCTGAACGAGAAGCTGGTAAAAACCGGTGATCAGCAATATAAAATATATTCATCTAAAAATACATCCACACAATGATATCGAAGAATATTAAAAATCAGAAAAACATGTACCCTCTAACGAGCCGCGGTACAATTATGTTCCTTGAGATCTACGTCTAAGAAATATTTAAAAACCTTATTATTGAAACTAAAAACGGAGCTAAG